TGTTTGTATGAGAATGTGTGCGTGTGTGTGTGTGTGTGTGTGTTTGTGTGTGTGTGTGTGTATGTGTTTGTGTGTGTGTGTGCATGTGCATGTGTGCGTTTGTATTATAATATATAATATAATTTAAATAATAATTGTTTAAATAAAAGACAAATAAAATTCAATTTTTATTTTAAGGAATGTTTTCTCTTGTTTCGATTTTGATTCATTTTGAAAGTTTTTTGACGTCATCATCTTCTTTTTTATCATCATCTTCCTCACCACCACCATCATCATCGTCATTGCCCTTTTTCATCACCATCATCATCATCATGCTAATCATCGTCATCTTCATCGTCGTCGTCATCATCAGCAGCTTGTTGATATAGGTCATCTAATGATGATGACTTTATTGATAACGGACGATTAAGTCAACGATTACAACATAAAAGAGTAACGTAACGATGATGATGACGACGATGATGGTGACGACGACGAGGATGACATTGTATAAAATGATAGACGCGACAGACAGATGCTGATAGGGATGACAATAACGATGAGGACGATGATGATGTTAAATAAAAAATAAAATGATGGCTTAAATGATGGAAATAATGAAGATAAGAGAGAGAGAGAGAGAGAGAGAGAGAGAGAGAGAGAGAGAGAGAGAGATACTGGGAAGGGGATGGTGGAGAAATCCCGGATGTTATAAATCACCTGCTTATGATGGTCGATCGATGCTCGCGTTTCTTTTATGATGAGCCACTTCTTCTTGCTACACACTCATTTTTTCCATTTCTTTTTTATTTATTTGTTTTTTTTTAATTTTAATTTTTCAAACAAAAAATTTGAAATTTGAAATTCCTCCCATTAATTTTATTTATTTATTTTTCTAAGAAAAAATTTTGCCGTCAAATAGAAAATAATTATATTTTTCGTTGCGATATGATGGTTGGGTTGTTTTATTACAGATGTATGTATACATAAAATCACCAGTTTTAATTTTTTATTAAATTACCGTAGCTCAACTGGTAAGGTCGCTTGCTATCTCTTATGTTGTTCTTGCGATTTGATGCTGTCCGATTACAGTCTGCGCTAACGTAGATATCTTGAGTGTATTTATGTTAGGTAGTGGTGAGTATTTATTGTTTTTGTTGTAAAAAAATGTATTTGCCATAAAAAAAAACATGATCATAAGCTCGTTAAACAAGTATAGAATAACAATGGAGCAAAAAATATTAGGTGCAGGATTAATAAGGTTATTAGGACGCTAATGATTTCACAATGTTGAGTCTTCCAATCAATTTATTTATCTTGTTTTTATTTTTATTTTATCCATTCATCCATCCTTCTAAGTATCCATTCATTCATCCATCTAAGTATCTATTCATCCATCCATCTAAGTATCTATTCATCCATCCATCTAAGTATCTATTCATCCATCCATCTAAGTATCCATTCATCCATCCATCTAAGTATCTATTCATCCATCCATCTAAGTATCCATTCATCCATCCATCTAAGTATCTATTCATCCATCTATCTATTCATGTATCTATGCCATTTGTATCCATACAATATTTTTTATTCTAATCAATTATTTATTTGTTCTCTATAATATTGACCGAAAATAATTTTATTTATTCACTCAACTATCCATTCACACGCATATCTATTCATTCATTTATTCATATATTCATTCATCCGTCTATTTATCCATCCATTCATCCATCCGTCCGTCCATCCAACCATCCATCCATCCATCCATTCATCTATCTATCCATCCATCCATCCATCCATCCATCTTTCATTATATTTTTTCCAACGTGTAATTGAAAGCGCGAGCGAATGAATTAGCAATCGATGAGCCGACAGCCTCACTTACCTAAGTCCTCTTCGACCTCAGTCGCAAACAATTAATGAATAAATGCATAGAAATGAGTCGGAACCCATCTAGAATATATCACCATCAACATCACCATCACCATCCCAACTCAATCACAACGCTCACAAGACCAAATTCTAGGCGCAAATCTCACCCTCGACAAGTGACTCAACTACATTTAGCGTTTATAGTTTAAGTTTGTGTATAGTTCAAATTTTATTCGAAAAAATTTAGGTTGAAATAATTATAATATTCCCAGCAATCTACTGGAGAAGTGGGTGAATAAGAAAGTCTTAATAATATTTTTATCGAATGATGTAGGTTGAATAAAAATAAAAATTTAGAAAAAATTGAAAAAAAAAGATTTTTTTTATTTTTTTATGTGCAAGAAAAATTAGGCAATGAACCCAACCCGTTCATTAATCGGTGCATAATTCGGTGTGCGTATTGCGGTTTGTCTTCTTGTGTATGTGCGCGTATGTATGTTTGCGTGTATATGTGCGTGTATGTGTGTATGTGTGTATGCGTGTATTTGTGTAAGCGTGTATGTGTGTATGCGTGTATGTGTGTATGTGATGTTGTGTTTGTTTGTGATGTTTAGGTTGTTGCTGCCTGCAAAGTTGTATCAACATATGTAACGAGTTTCATTATTAATTCATAAGTTTGTTTAGCGATTATATTTTTATTTATACGTTTATATTTATATACATATTTATATAATATTTATAACGTTTATATTTTAACTTTAGTTCTGCCATTTAATTTCGAATCATAATTCTAGTGTACGATGAATTGCTATTATATGAATTAATGAATTGATATTTTTTTTTCTATCCGGGATCATCGAGATAAATAAATGAGCTAATCATTCTGTTGTATCATCACTGTATGTATCTCACGGCATCTAATTAATAATTTCAAACGTATACCAAGATACAAGATATCTGTCATGATATCATGATACTTCAAGAAACATCAGTCTCAAATCAAAAAAATCCTACTCAATAGTTATGTATGATCTCGTTAGGTTGACTCGTTATAAACTTCTGCTCTCACAAGAAAGAGATTCTACGCCGACCTGGCATGTTCAAGTACACGTTCATTTGTTTGCCGGATGTTTGTTGCATTCTTTTAATGTTAAATTCAAAATTTGTCTTGGGCTGCTGTTGTTGTTGTTGTTTTTGTTGTTGTTGTTGTTGTTGTTGTTGCTGCTGCTGCTGCTGCTTTTGTGAAATTTCATATGTTGCGTTTATTTAAATGTAATCATCTACATAAAATATGTAATTATGTTTCATTTAAAAACAAATTGTTTTATAAACTTTGAAACCTATATTCAAAGATGTTTTCGTAAAAAGTGTAGTACCAAGTACTTTTACTCATATATAGAGGAGTAACACAAACATAATATTAACATCAATATTTAATTTATAATTAATCAATGTATTAACTATAGTAACAGTAATCATATTCATGATGTTAACGTTTGAGGCTTTATATAGACGCGTTAAGTTTACAATGTCTAGAAGATAATATGGGCTTAGGTGGATTGAGATTGTGTGGATAGGCAAAAGGTGTCGAAAAGTTTCGGGTGAGAAATCGTACAAACTTGATAGAGAAAATAAAGTTAATGATATTGGATATATTCAAACTGGCTTACGAAAGTAAAATACTGTTCTCAGATTTATTACAAATAGTTATTGGAACATTACAAAATAGATATTACATACATTCTTAACAACAATGTGTGGGTATTTATTTCGCCATACTGAGAAAAAAACGATAACGCCCGTCTAGTTTACACAAATGCCAATATTTTCCAACCATCAGAACGTAATCATAATTATCAGGAAACTGCAGACTAGCACACATGCACACGTAAGGTATGCAGAACATGAAAACTATCTTGATGAATGTTTAATAGGGAGGGATTTTTAATCATAACATTGATTCACGGGGTAGCGTGATAAGTTTGACAAGTTTTTGAGACAAAGTATTGAAGGCTTTCGGCCCGATAGCTTTGACGTTCGTAGCTTTCTGATGTAACGCTTGCAGACATGTCATCTCATTCACTTAATTAAGTCACAATAATATATTAAGGACGCCTCACGCACACGCTTTTACCTTTATGAGTTCGTTCGTTAATTATTCATAAGTGTTTGGATTTTTTTCAATCACAGACACGCATGCGTGTACATGAACAAACACGCACACACACACACACACACAACGTTTTTAATTTGTATGAAAATTAGTAAAAATTCTTCTTGGTGAGAAATTTTCGGATAACGAACCTTTAAACAGGTGACCTACTTCATTTTAACATCATAAAAATTACTTTGAAAACATTCACCACCACCACAAAGTTTTTCAATTGATGCTCAAAATACCACCAAATAAACTTAGTGGAAAGGCGAGTGCAGCTTCCTAATCTACCTTAATTGATCTTCTTTTTAAAATTTAGAGTTTTATTTATGATAAAATATTTATAACAGAAGAGGTATGTTTTTTTAAATGTTTGAGTCGTTAACCAATCTTTGAAATTCAGTGAGACTCAATATAACGAAGACAATGCAACGAACACAAATTCGTTTGATGGTGGTGTTGCAAGGGTCAGTCCAATGAACTTAAATTTAGTTCGGGTGACACACTGCCATTCGGAAGACATCTTGGGTGCGGTTCAGATGGTGGTCGGTGCAATTGGTTGCTGTAAAGACGAATTTTTGCTGTGAAATTTCTCAGAAAAAATTTTTCAGAAGAAATTTTGAAAATTACAAAAAGTATTAAAATTACACAAATTAATTTGAAATAAAAATTCCAGTCACGTATTTTGAAACGATTTGAAAGCAAAATTAAAAATAACTATTAATAAATTAAATCATGATTTAAAATCATTTCAACTGGAATTGTAACCGACACTGGCTGATTCATTGCACAAATCAATGCAAGACCCTTATAATGATAGCCAAAGAATAAAGCGCTACAAAAACATTTATAATCAAATCGTAATATAAAGTCATCCCGCACGTTTGCTTTTAGTTCGTTCAGTTCAAGCCGGTTACCTTCACTCTCGTAATTGCTTATTGTTTGTAAATTTGAGTTTTATTTTGGTTTTTGATAGAATTTATTTAACAAAATGAATTTTACTAAGTTGAACGTAATAGTTGCTAACTCGCCGCACGGTAGCACTAATAGTAGTGAGAGCAGTAACAGCATAAATCACGATGAACGCGATGATGACGACGATGATAGCTGCTCGGACCCTACTAACAACAACGACAGTGATGATAGCAACAACACTGATAATGAGGAGGAAGAAAACGTTGAGGAGGGCGAAGTTAATGATTCCCAGAATGAAACTGTCGATGACACCCCACGGAGAAGAAATAAAGAAGTTAGAAATAGTGATGAGTTGCCTGCTTCTCCTAGTACAGTTGGGGAAGAATTAGTGTTGAATGTTAAAGCTGATGTCAAGTCCTCATTAGGATTATCTACAAAACAGGTAAGTAAACAGACAAATTATATTAAAATTAAACTGATATGAAAGAAAACTTCATTAAAGCTAGGTCTTGTTCATTATTGTTAATTAACTGTTATTAATTAATTAATTAATTTAATATATTTTCAATTATCGATCAGTCGATTTCATTTTTTATATTTATTTTTTCATTAGTTGATTAATATTTAATAATAATACTAATGAATAATTTATAACCAGAATGCATCGGCAAAGTTATACCACAACAAGGAAGGAGAGTTTTTCACTGGGTTTGATCCAACATCTGCAGTAAGAACTTGTTGTTAATAAATTAATTACATTACTAATTATATTATTTAATATTTTACTATTTTTTATTTTTTTTTACTATTATTTTTACTATTATTACGATGATCTAATGAAAATTACATTATTATAAAATCAAATTTAAACATACTATTGTAGAAATGTTACATGTCTCTACTAAATTAAAAAAATACAAAATATCAATTTTTGTATATTTTTTTGAAGTTTCATGGGATCTGTTTGTAAGCTTCATGATAGAATATTGTGTTTAATTATTAAAATTGTAATAAAATTAGCAAATTATTTTTTAATTTGATTTTTAGATATATTTTGAAATGATTTTTTTATAGGAATTCAAAGCCAAAACAGAGGAAAGGATAAGAAGATTCGGACAGATTGCTCCCGCTTGTAACATTCTCACGGAACAATCACTGAAAGAACTCTTTGAAAGGTTACTGATTCTGAAAATTTATTATTAAAATTATTAATATAATTATTATTAAATAATAATAAATAATAATGGCAAATTAATTCGTTAGCGGTGATTAGCTAGACATTTTTTGCTTTGTTCATTTCAATTTTTACCTGTAGATGAACACAATTTCAGATAAAACTCTATTAGAAGTTATGAATCTATGAACTTTTGCAATGTGAAAGTTGAAATTATGATTTTTCAGAGAAAATTATTTTAAAAAGTTAAATTTTTTCATTCCCCAAACCAGCCTGGGTGTGCCAGGGCCAGCTACAAAAACCACAACAACTGATGACAGCAACAATATGGTGGGTGGAATCAGCAACAGCAGCTGCAACAAAGAAGATGTCATCATCAATAACATCAACAATAATGACATTAGGTATAACTGCATTCACTTGAAGGGCACTAATGATATGAGTACGAAGGACGTGTTCGATTTCTTCAAACTCTTTCCTCCGTCTGCTATCGAATGGATTGACGACGAATCATGTATGAGCAATTTTTATTTATTTTGTTCTTTGTCTTATTGTTGTTTTCTTTATTTTATTCATTGTTTTTTTTTTGTTTTTCATCTTTTTTTATTCATTAGTTGATTCAATTCGACTGCTTTTATCACTCAGTTTCCAATTGTTTATTTGACATTTTAAAGTTTATTTCATTTTTATTTCTGTCTCTATAATTTTTTTTTCAATCACCTGATTTTTTACAAAAAATTAATTGTCAAGTCGTCCACTTATTGTATCATCACTAATAAAATTAGCTATAAATCGATAAAATCATTGATACAATATAGCATACATATCTTGCTATTAATATTATTTTTATCGATAATCTTATTAATTTTATCACTATCAATACTATAATAATAATAATTATGATAATATTAATTATTATTATTATTATTAGGCAATGTAGTTTGGCTGGAGGAAATTACAGCCTGCAGAGCCATGCTGCAGATGAGTAAGGTCATAAATAAGGTCAAAAGTAAGGTCACAAACAAGGTCACGTTCACAGCAAATAATAATGCTAATGATAATAATCACCATCACCACAACAACAACGATGATATAAATGATGATGAAGTTCATCATGATGATGGAAGCGTCTGTGATGGTGGCAGTGCTGGCATACCTCTTGCAAAGTCCAAAGATAGAAAAAATTATGATAGGATGAGTGATAATGATGATGACGATGAAGATGATGAGGAGGAAGAGAATGGTGGTAGTAAAGGCAAGAATGATGAGGGTTAATATTTATTTGTTTGTTAATAGTTAAATGAATAATTAATGAATCAATTATTTTTTAAAATCTTCAAATATGGTTTTTTGCCTTGTGGTTTTTAAACAATATCTTATTGAACGATTATTTTTTTAATTATTTATTTAATTAATTAATTTGTTAGTTAGTTGGTTAATTGGTTTATTTTATATTAGCTTATTGCTGCTTTCAAACTTTAACTTTGACCATTTCTAAAAAAAAATTTTTTTCCATTTAAATTTTCTTTATTTAGATTAAAATTAATTTTTTTTCACAGAAGATATGGAGGTCGACGATGATGATGACGAAACCAATAATAATAATAATAATAATAATAACAACAATAATAACAATAATTCTAGTGAGCAAGCCAACAACGGCAACAACAACAGTCAAACAGACAACAAACTTGACAGTAATACTTCCAACACCAACGCGGAAAACGAGGACAATAACAACATTAATGATAATAATAATAATAATAATAATAATGGTAATAATAATATTAATGATAGTTATTATGACGGGGATGTTAGCATTCCAGATGATGGTTGGAAGTACAGGCTTGGTGTGACGTACAAGAGGCATGATAAACTCTTATTTAGATTTGCTACGAAAGGTGTGAAAGAGAAAAATTATTTGAAATTTAAAAAAAATTTTTCTATTTATTACGTTCTCAAATCACATACATATTGTGTGTGTGTGTGTGTGTGTGTGTGTGTTAGTTTGTTTGTGTGTGTGTGTCGTTGTTTGTGTATGTGTGTGTGTGTGTCTGTGTTGTTTGTCACCTCTGAGAATTATTTAAAAGAGAGTTAATATTAATGATAATAATAATTTTAATTTCTATATTTAATAGATGACAAAAAGGAAGTTGGAGCCTCGAGCAGGAGCAAGTATTACCAAAAGTATGGGAATCCTAACTTTGGAGGTACTTAGTTTGTTGTTGTTGTTGTTGTTGTTATTATTATTGTTATTATTGTTACTGCAGTTGTTATTAGTGTCATGGTTGTCGTGAGTACTGTTGTTGTCTTTTTGCTATCACTGATGATGTGATGATGATGATGATAGTAATGATGATGATGATAGTGATGATAGTAAGGATGATGATGATATCACTAATTATGATGAAAATTATGATATAAATTTTTTTCCATGCAGGCCTCAAAGGGATTATATCATCCAGCCGGTTAGTTAATCATCATCTTCATCATTTCTTCTACAATGTGATGACGATGATGATGAGATGATGAAAGGGATGGATGATGTTTCTTGTTGTTGCTGTGACGATTATAAACGTTGTTTATTATGTACTAAAAAATGTGCTTGTTGTTATTGTTGGACTGATGATACAAATGTGATACTCGAATGACAGGAAAAGAAAAATTCTCTCAATGAAGAGAGTCAGAGAGATGAGGGAGGCGAGGAGAGAGATGGAGGATTTGGAGTGGGCCACAAAAGGGGTACCGGAAGTGACCAAATTTGATGAACACATCAGCGGGGCTAGGAAGGGCCGCGTTTGGGAAAGAATTAAATTGAGGCAAAAACATTATAACGCTGCTGCTGATGATGATGGTGAGGAGGTCCGTTATGATAATGATAACGACAATAGTGATGATAAGAGTAAGTAGTTTTGATTGATTACTGAGATGAATGTGGATAGATTAAACGTCATTTTCTTTCGTCGTTGCTTATATATTTGTCGCCATTTTATTATCGCAATCCTTATCACCCTGATTTTTTCATTTTAATTATATCAGGACCAGACGTCATCGTCAGCCATTCTCGAGTCAGCCATTCTAGAGAAAGGAAGGGTAGAGATGATGATGAAGATGAAGCTGTTATGATGAGTGAAAGATCGAAAATTCCAAGGATGAAGATGTACGCTGATGATTACAAAAAAGGCGATAGAAACGATGACGGTGATCGTTATCACCATCGTCATCATCATCAGCAACAGTCTGGAAGTGCATCTATAAGAAGCAGGCTTGGAAAAAGAGTCAACAGTGATAGTAATCATTCCTCTTCATCTCATCATCCACCATCATCATCATCATCGTTTACACAACACCATCGTCATCGTCAACAATCGCCTTCATTACGTCATCATGACGTAAAAAGCAGATTGGGCATTAGAGTGACCACCGACAACGAACATTATCGTCGACATCATCATCGCCATGATGATGATGATGATGATGATGATAGTGATAATAATGACGATGATGACGATCGTCAGAAAGATGAAAGAGAAATGAGTAGAAGTAATAAATTGAGGTCGAGGCTCGGCAATAGATCCTGATGAATGGATGGATGAAAGAATGAAGAAAATGACGTCATCGATTGATTGATTGGTTGATTGATTAAATCAAATTCATTTTTTTAAATGATTGATTTCTTCATACAGTTGATTGATTGATTATTTAATTTGTTTTTAGATCTATTGTATAAAGTGTTGATTGATTAATTGGATGATTGATTGATTAATTGGATGATTGATTGATTAATTGGATAATTGTTTGATTGATAGATTAACTGGAAGATAGATTAACTGATTGATATTCATATTTGCAATGTCATCCGATTCTATTATTTTCCACCAAGCATTGTTATGTCATCTTGATACGGACCAATACACACACACGCACACATTTAAATGTGCGTGTGTTTGTTTGTGTTTGTACGTGTGTGTGTGTGTGAAAGAGAGAGAGAAAAAAAATATTTTTAATAAAAAATATTTTAAAAAAATATGAATTTTTCGTTTTATGTTTATTGTTTGTTACAAATTCACTTCACGACAGTAAAACAAAACTAATAATGAAAATAATATACTAATAATAATATAATAATAAATAGGTATATATCCAGCGTATATATATATATATAATGTAAAACAAACGATGTATATATAATATATAGGTAGACATGTTAGTATTAATTCAAATTTTATCAACAGAAAAATAAATTAAAATAGTGAAAATAAGAGATTTTTATAAAACGGAATGTGTGTGTGTTTGTCTGTCTGTTTGTGTGTGTGTTTGTCTGTCTGTGTGCGTGACAACCAACAACATAGTATTCAGATCAGATAAATGTTTAGTCAGTCATTCCTTTGTTTAGCACAAATAAATAAATAAATGACTTAATATTATTAATAATATAATAACAATTATTAAGATCTTAACAGCTGAAAATTTAAATAAATGACTTGATTAATTAATTTATAAAACTCTACGATTTTGTAACATCACTCCATTCATTCGTTCATTCATTCGTTTATTTGCTCGTTGATTCAATCATTCATTCAATCGTTCATTCAATAATTCTTTCATCAATATATTACATAATGACATATATATGTTTAAGCAGTGTTCACAACCCTATATTATCTACAGGAACAATACGTGTTTATATATGTCTGTCTGTGTGTGTGTTGTGTGTGTCTGTGTACAAATCTATGCATCACAATGAGAAAAAAAATTCAGCCTCTCGAAGCAAGTCGAATTAAAATAAATGAAATATTTGAAATAAGTTAAACAGCAGAAAATCAAGGATTACCAACAACAACAACGAAATGAAGTAAGTAGTTTACATATCATCATGGAATCGTAGAGACGGTTTTACAAGTGTATGTGCGTGTGTGTGTTTGTTTGTATACTTTTATGTTTGTACATGCGTGTCTGTGTGTTTATATATATATTTGTGTGTATGTGTGTGTATGTATCAACATTTTATGCTTGATTCTATATGTTCTTATACGTTTTCTGTACACGCGAGTCATTTCATGTTCAAATAAAGGTCTTTGCAGGTAAAATTTTGTATGTATGCATATTTATTTTTGTATTTATGTGGCTTGATTGCATGGATGAATGGCTTGTATGGATTTATATCTATTATATCCAAATTAAATCAAAAGCTAACCTTCTGACTATAATAGGCGCGTGAATTTATATTAGAAAAAGAATAAATTGTTTGACCTCAAAAAAATTAGATGTTTGAACAGCTATGATGTTTCCCGCTAATTATAACAGTCAACAATAATTGTCCTGAAATCCCTCTAAACAAGAATTGAAATATGAAAATGGACAGAGCTGAATGTCAAACATTCGGCCAGGCTGCCCATTCGTTGCGTTCAGTCTATGTGTTTTATACATGTGTGTGTGTGTGTGTGTGTGTGCGCGCATGTGTATGTGTGTTTGAATGTATACGTGTGAATGACACTACGTGTTTTGGATGTGTCCGCCGCTGTGTGTTTGTGTATCTTTGTGCGTGTGTACGTGTGTTTGTTTGAGTGGAGGTAGTTATGATTTTATGAGCACCTCAAGTAAACCAATTTGAAATGACTATATAATTCTTGTAATATTCAAGTCTGGTAAATGCCGAGTCGCAGATGTTATTTGTGTGTGTGTGCGTGCGTGTGTGTGTGTGTGTGCGTGTGTTTGTCTGTATCTACAAATGTTTTCCGTACGTGCGTGTACCTGTAAACCCCTGTCTTCTGCAGGTGTATGCAAGTTTGTGGAATGGTTTCATAACGATTTATATATAACTAACAATAATAATATGACAATATATGACAATATATATATATATATATAACACAATATATAACACTTTATATTAATATATATATATATATAACACAATATATAACACTATATATATTTATATATACATTTAAAATATATAATTTACAACATTATGACCACAATATATATATATATATATATATATATATATATATATATATATATATATATATATAGATACATATATGCATACAATTATAACAAGTTACACCAATACAATATCCTTATTGTAATTTAAATACACACACACACACACACACAGGCAAAATAAAAATCATCATCACCCCAACACGTCTTATACCATATATCATAATTAAATAAATCATCGTTATTACAATCGTCATAGTAATCATCACCGACGTCAACATCGTTATTACAATCATCATCTTCATCATCGTCTTTATCATCACCATCATCGTCATCATCTCATCATCGTCTTTATCATCATCTTCTTCTTCTTCATCGTTGTCATCATCTTCTTCAATATCATCATCGTCATCTTCGCCATCATCATCGTCATCTCCACCATCGTTATCGTTATCACCTTCTTCTTCATCTTCATCATCTTCATCATTTATTTTCAATGAGGACTTGCAGTTTGTTGACCAACCCTCTTGCAATATTCACGATGTCCACAGCGTTGTGCTTCTCTGCTAACTCTATTCATGTGTGTGTGTGTGTGTGTATATATATATATATATGTGTGTATGTGCCTGTGCACGTGTGTGTGTGTATGTGCTCGTGTGTGTGTGTGACCGTGCGTGATAATAATAGCGATAAAGATGACTATGATAGCATTAAGGATACTTATGATGATGATGGTGGTGGTGGTTAAGATACAGATGATACTGATGACGATGATGATAGCGAGGACGATACTGATAATGATGACGACAAGATGGTGGTGATGATGACGACGAGATGGTGATGATATTTATCATGAGAACTTTTTTGTCATCGTCAGTTTCGTTACTGACGTCATTCTTCATCACTATTAAACCATTACCGCAACTAAACTAACCAACCGACTGACCGTTAAAGAACTTGATGATGTCAGTAAAGTCCATCTGATTATCGATGATGACGTCACGATAGTATTCGACCATAGCAAGTGCCACAAAGAGAACAAAATGGCGGGAGCAAATGTGCTTAGCCGTCCATATGGTCTCCCATACCATGAAAATATCGCTGTAGACGAGTTCTGAGTTGTTTGGTTGGTTGGTTGGTTGGATGGTTGGTTAGTTCACTTGTTTGTGATAGTAATGACGATTGAGACGATGGTGAAAACTGAAAGTGATAAACAGAACCTCTTTTGAAATCCAAGAGAAACCAGCGGTAGGAGAAATAGAAGTGAGTGTAGTCGCCGTACTGGCGCATGTGCTCAAATAACTCTGGGTCCATAATCTGCCAGGTCATCATCAATCCCCCATCATCATCATCATCATACTACTTATCATCTTTATCATCATCCTCATTTTCATCATCATCATCATTGAAATCGCAATTACTTTGTAGTAGAGAGCGATTTTAAATCATCAACATCCTTCCTGGCCACTATTATCATTATTACCATCGCCAAGACCATCATCATCATCATCACCATCATCGTCGTCGTTACCTGGATGAGTGACCTCATGTTCCCGAAATGTTGGTCCATGGCACTTCCGTTTGGGAAGTTGGCGGACATCCTCTGCATCAGCTCGCAGAAACAACTGTACACCTTCGGCTCTGGTGGTGATGATGATGTGGTGAGGATGACGTGGTGAGGATGACGTTGTCAATATTATAATAATTATTAATATTATTATTATCATCACCACCATCACCACCACCACTACCATCATCATCATGACTACCATCATCCATGATGACTAGGAGCGGGGCAACGAGATCGCACATCCCCTGCACGTATCCCATCTCCATGTTCTGCCACACGTACCTTTACAACAATTACGATGACGACGATGATAATGAAATGATGACGATGATGATGATCATGCTGATGATGGTGATAACAATGACGATGATACTAATGGTGATAGCTATCAGTTTCACAATCGCGATCAGAGGAGGCCTAATGAGGCGGTGGGCAAACGACTAGCCAGCCAGCCAGCCAGCCAGCCAGCCAGCCAATCAGAACTTACGTGCCCATGACGTTTCTAAGCTTGCTGAGATTGGTCAACTGGGCGAAGTAGGCGTGGTTTCTGTCGCACCTGTGAACGTCCTTGTCTATCCTGTGCAAGTTCAGCGCGAAGCTCTCCAGCAGGTCGGCCTGTGCATGGACAATGATGATGATGACGATGACGACGATGACGATAATGACGATGATAATGATGTTGATGACGACGATGACGATGATGATAATGATGCTGATGACGATATGATGCTGATGACGATGATGTTGATGATGATAAGCTCGTTCACATGGAAGATAGCAGTAACGGCAATAACAACAACAACAACAACAACAACAATAATAATAATAATACCAAGAATAATAATAATTAATTTCAAATAGTTACGGTATATTTGGCGGCAATATCGTCGACGCCATTAGCAGCTGCAGTAGTTGTAGCAGCAACAGCAACAGTGGCTGTTGTTGTTATTGACGATGATGATGTTGTTGTTGTTGGTGCTGCTGATGATGTTGTTGTTGGTGTTGTTGTTGCAAGCAGCGCATCGTTTTGCGATTTATCAGACTCTGTGGAAAAATTCATCATCGTCGTCGTCGTCATCATCGTCAATATCAATATTGTGATTATTAATATCATTTTTATCAAAAATTATAATAAAGTTGTCAACAAACATAAACAACATCCTCAACATCATCATCAACATCATCATCATCTTCGACATAACCATCACCATCATCGACAACAACATCATCTCTACCATCATCATCATCATCATAAATAGCAACACTACAATCACCATGACAACCTGAATCGAGGGATGCACTGTCATCACTGAGGGTGAATGTAGCCTTCCTTGACGCTGATGACGACCCTGATAACGGTGATGGCGACGACGACGATGATGTTAACGATGATAATGATGATGGTGTTAATGATGACGTAACATTAAATGAGAGAGAGAGAGAGAGAAAAAAGAGAGAGAGAGAGAGAGAGAGAGAGAGATGATAACAATAATAGAGTAGTAACAATAATAACCGCTATTCAATTTTTCAAGCATCCTGGCAGCGTGATTCTGATGTAGCGGCTGATGAGTCCGCGTACTCGACGACGATGAAGACGACGTAGACGAAAACGCCGTTACGTCATTTCCGGTCGGTTGATCCTGTTGTTGAAACTGTTGCCTCGCCACTGTGGCTGCTGCTGCTGCCGATGGTAGCGGCGGTGGCGAGGAAACTTTAGAAAATGACGTCATAGCCACGTCATCGGTGCTCTCGAATACGTCACTGCAGAGGCTTGACTCTTTCCTGGTGAGTGTTAGACTAGCGTTGGAGGGAGCACGTGACTTGATGACGTTGTTGTTGTTGCTGCTGCTGCTGGCGTTGTTGCTGCTGTTGCAGAAGCTGGCTGTCGTCGACGTCGGAGTACCGGCGACGATTTGCTTCTCCCTGTCCTGGTGCGGTTGAAAGTTTGGAAATCGTCATCATCATCAGATACAAATCATCATCATCATCCTCATCACTACTAACTTGTGTTTTCAAATAAGCCTCCACCTCCTTCCACTCATCCATCAACCTGTAGTATTCATCCTTCGTTCGTTCGTCTACCATCTGTCGATCCTCAACCGTACTGTCCATCCTGTAGTGTTCGAGCAGGAACGGCCACACCTGATGATGATGGTGACGACGACGACGACGATGGTGATGATGATGATGAAAATAAAAATGATGGCAATTATGATGATTTTGATGGTGATGAAGATGATGATAATGATTACAATGATGACCATTATGATGATGCTGATGATGATAATGATGAAAATATTGGCAATTATGGTGATGATGGTGATGAAAATTATGATAATGATTACAATGATGGCGATTTTGGCGATGATGGTGATGAAGATGATGATAATGATGACGACGATGATGATGGTGATGAAGAGGGTGATGAAAACATGACCAACCTCTTTCCTAATATCACCATCGCACCCGCCATAGTACACCAGCTTGTACAGCATCAACTCATCTGAAACCTTCGAGAAAAAAATCTTTATCACCATCATCATCACTATCACCATCACCATCACCATCATCATCATCATCCTTACCCTCATCATCGTAATTTTACCTTTCCACTTTGCGTAAGTTCCTTCCAGCATTCCTTAGTGAGACCTGCCTGTTTCTGATTGGCTGGCTGCTCGGATTGATGGATGGTAGCGTTGACTAGACCGGATAAATGAGTGCGTACCGTTTTCAATTGTCTACAGTGTGATAGCCCTGTGTGTGCGTGCGTGTGTATGCAAGTGTGTATGTGTTGTGTGTGTGTTTTGTGTGTGTATTTTGTGTGCGTGTGTGTTGTGTGTGTGTGTATACAAGGGTGTGTGGGTGTGTGTCTGAATAAGTAGATGAGTGAATGAATAAGTGAGTGAGTGAGTGAGTGCGTAAGTGAGTGAGTGAATGAGTAAATGAGAGATTGAGTGAACGAGTGAGTGAGTGAAAAAGTGAGAGAGTGGGAAAATTCTAACAGCCATAGAATGCTCTGGATAGGATCTGAGATGTCATAGTGTCGCAGAGTTGTCGAACTGCAGTCCTACACATAAGAAACAGTATAACATCGTTAGTAACTACAGCAACATCAGCAACAACATCGCAACAACATCAGCAACAACATCGCAACCTATGATTGAGCGGTTCTTTGTTGTTGTTCATGGAGTCGTCACCGCCATTGGTCATAGGGGTATTTGGGTCATCTTTTGATGATCCTTCATCTTGTTCTTGTATGACGTCAGCTGTTTGACAATCAGTCAATCAATCAATCAATCAAACAAACAATCAATAAATCAGAATCAATCAGTTGGACGTCCAGTCGGTAGGTCGGTCATTCAGTCATCCAGTAAGTAATGAACTAACATATACAAGCGGCGTTTGGAGTATTCATTACGATCCTGAACACATAATCCATTGTGATGTCCTCTCCACATGAAATCAACTCTTCCCTCTTCTTAACCAGCTGCTCCTGCTGATCAACTACAACAGCTGCTTCCGTCGTTGACGTCGCAGCTGTTACTGCTGCAGCTGCTGCTGACGTTGATGTCGGCGTGGAGTTGTGCAGTGATTGCTTCGCTGTTTGATTTCGTTGCTGTTGTTTAGGTGGTGAGCTGGTAGACAGTGATTGGTTGAATGCCGATGTGATCTCGTCTGTCATGCTGCCAATCAGAGAAGAGAGCATGTGGGAAGCTCCGCCTATTTTTTTCTTAATCAACATTGGTAGGGCATCATCTGGTTGAGTGACAGCAAAAAAAACGATCAAAACTCCCATCACGAAATAATAAGAAAGATCAGTAACAATGTCTTCCAAAGCAAAATGGCACACACCTTCTGAGACGCTATCATTCAAAGGTGGTTCAAGATGACCGCGGGGACTGAGACCCGCCTCAATGCAGGATAGAAATGCATGCAGGTGTCCGCCGCGGGGCAATCTGATGGGGGGCCTCTGAACTCCATCATGCCCCACCATCACCACAATACCCCCCGAATCAGCTGGTGGTTGATAGTTGGTGGTGTGATTGGTGTAACTAATGCTTATACCAACAATATACATACGGTAACATCAAAACACAATTAAAACGTCAACATGCAATCACATCAGTACACAATCACATCAACATACAATAACACCAACATACAATCACATCAACATGCAATAACACCAACATACAATAACACCAACATGCAATCACATCAACATACAATAACACCTTGCTGATGACAGTGCAGATAAACGATATCATCAAGGTTAATAGCGAGTGCATAATTCCAGTATTGGCTGTGGGTAAATTTATCATCATCATCATCATCATCATCGCTGACGTCATGATCATCGTCATAACATTGGCACACAATCACATCAACCCACATTCCCATGATTGCAGGTAGTTTTGTACATAGTTACGAATCATCATCATTATTATTATTACTATAATTACTATTATCATTATTATTGTTGTTGTTGGTGGTGGTGGTGGTGGTGTTGTTATCGTAATAATGACAACAATAACAATAATAAGCAGCCACATTAGCAAGACTTCCAACAAGCAAAAACGTACGAGAGAAAAAATAAGTTTGAAAAAAACAGAAATAAATCACTGAAATAAAAAAGAGAATACAAATACAAATAAAAAAAAAACAAAAAACAAACAAACACAATTTAAAAACCTTCTGGTGCCGTTAAGCTTCGAGATGAACGTTTGAGATGGTGTGTATTTAACATATATTGGCCTATGATGATGACGATGATGACGACGACGACAGTTATGATGATGAGTATTATGATGATGATGATGATGATGATAATGATGATAATGAAAACAATGATGAGTTTTACAAATGAAATAAACTCCTAAATATACATGTTGAGTATGATAACAATGACGATGATGATGATGTTGTTGATGAAGATGATGATGATGTTGTTGATGAAGATGATGATGATGTTGCTGATGAAGATGATGATGATGTTGTTGATGAAAATGATGATGATGTTGTTGATGAAGATGATGATGATGTCGCTGTTGATGATGATGACGACGATGATAGTTAACATAGTAGTATTAATTAAAAGATTAAAGAGACAGAAAAGAAATTTGAAAACGAGAAAAACAAAGAAAAAAAATTAAGAAATTATTGAAAACAAAGAAAACAAATTATAACATCAAAACAGAACATAAACATTGAAAGATTTAATAAACTGTTAAAATTGAACCTTCAACAAAAATATAACAGATGTTCTTAACCACAAAAAGGACAAATTCAAATAAAAACAATAAAAAAAAATTAACGATAAATAATCATCACATAAGTCGTCACAAAACAACACGCTAACAACAAAACGTCATCGTCGTCGTCGTCATCTTACAACAACAAAAAAACATGCCCCTTTCATTATGATCCCAAACAACCGCGCCAAAAACTACACCACCACCGAAAACAACATCAACAAATATTACAACAACAACACCGAAAACAACTTCAACAGATATTACAACAACAACACACACTACTACACAAACAACAACAACATTAACAAATATTACAACACCAACAACACCAGACAACCTTCTATCCAGACTAGGAGCGTTGTTGTTGCCGTCAACGTTGTTGTTGTCGTTGTTGCCAATGTTCATGAGCTGGTTGGGAGTCCACTTTACAACAAGACTCAGGCTGTTGTTTTGATGCAACGACAAGTAGCCCGCCATTGGCTGGATGTCTTCCTTCTGTCTCAAACGATGGAGTGATAATGTGATGACGAGGTGATAAGTTTTGTTATCGTATTCGTCATCTTTATCATCCTCATCACTACGATTCTTATCATAGTTACTCATTTTTTGTTAGCATATTCATCACTCTTACCTCTCTCTATTCGTCCAAGTTTGGATCATATTACATACACTGTCATTAGACCAACATCGCATGACATGACATGACAATGACATGACATCTACAAACACATCACATCATTACATCACATCATCGCATCACATCACTACACCCGGACATCAGCACAAACAGGCTGTATGATGACATTATTCTTCCCGTACAACAGCGTGGACTTGTTGTTCTGGTGAAGGGACTCGACATACTCTTTGGCTATCATGGGCGTCGTCCTTGAACTTACTGCGGCCGATGACGTCAGCGATGATGACGAAGATGATGATGATTGGTCGTCCAGAGTTGAACTAGACATTTTTTGAATCTAGGTATGTGTTTTTTGGATATTTATTTGTTTACATCATCATCATCGACCAATGACATTCCTTCTAAGAACCTGAAGAGCCAATCGTTTAGGAGAATCAGCATGTGCCAGATGGTGATTGGTCGAGCTGTGTATGCGGTGTCTCTGCATTAACTCTTTGGCTGGTGGGTCGGTCCATAGGTGGTCGACTGTCTTCATGTGACTGAACTCGAGAGCGCACGGTCCAACTTTTGTATGAGAATATATGATAATGACGACGATGATGATGATGATGATGGTGGTAATGTTGCTGATGATGATGGAGCTCAACAAAACTGATAACAACAAAGTTAGAAGCGTCAACATTACCAACAACTTAACCAAAAAACAACTGCATGCATGGACAACAAATCTAACCAAGCAACGAAGCCAGTATAGCCCCACAGACAGGATCGCTAATGAGGGCTTCCTTCTCATAATATTTACTGTGGAAAAATATTTTCATCATCCTCCCATCATCATCATTATAATCATCATCATCATCATCATCATTATAATCATCATCGTCATCATCAGTAACAATCGTTATTGTCGTCGTCATCAGCATCATCGTTATTGGACGACAGGATGGCGTAGCAGCAGAGTGCCTGCCACTGCCATTGCAGTGATCGGATTCAACTGCAAAGAGATCCCTGCCTCTATCGCGTGTGTGATGCGTTGTTTCAAGTATATTTACATGCACTGTGGTGTTTTTTGGTGATGCCTCTGAATGAATAGTGAAGAGAGATTCGTGATGAATACACAAATAAATATTGTCATCTGCGTAACCAATGTTATCATTATCATCATTAGCATCTCTGCTGTTTCGCACGATGATTTTCTTCATCATCATCATCACCGTCTTCATCATCATCATCATCATCATCATCATCACCATCTTTATTATCGTCAACATCGTCACCATCGTCAGGCAGGCAGGCAGGCAAACAAACCTGCTATTCCTGACTAGATAGTCAACAATCTTGGCCAGCTGCTTCTCATAGAGGGCCACCCTCAACCACAGGTACTTGCTGTTGGTCTTCCGCGAAAGATGAGATAAATGATTAGATGACAACGATGATGCCGACGACGACGATGACGCCGTTGTTGCTGCTGCTGCTACAGATGACGATGATGTCGCTGAGTTGTCGAGAGATTTTCTTCAAATGAGTGAGATATGATTGATATCAATGGAATGATTATTTAGAACTAGGCGGTGTTGTGACTAATTAATTGCGTGGGTGATTCTTTGGACATGTAACGAATGATCAAACAAATGAATAATAGATACGTGCATAAATAAATGATTAAACGAACAAACTATTGAACGAACGAACGAACGAACGAACGAAAGAACAAACAAAGAATGAACGAACGAATGAAAAAATAAATGAACAAATATGAACGGCAAAATGGAAAAAAGAAATAAGATGGTGATAACAAAGAATCAAACTAAAATAGAAATCAATGAAAAAATTTTTGCATTAAAATAAAATACCAAAGGTAAGTTCACGCACACACGCACACTCACGCACGCACACACACACGCACGCACACGTACACACACATGATATGTAAATGACATCACATTTAACTATGAATAAAAATAATATTACCTGTGATACTGATGATTGATAAATATGATGAAAGAGGATGATGAAAAAACTGAGATGAAGATGATGAAGGAGCTAAAATAAAGATGATGGAGATGATGATGATTGTTAAAGCAATTGTAAATAATCCTCAAACTTAAATGACCTCTTAATGAAATTGTAAACAAATTAAACAACCATAAAAAACCAAAAACACTAAATAACCTATCATGCATTTTTTCTAACTCGTTCAGTATCTTGACGAGTCGAGCAGCTGGTTCGAAAGACTTAGCCACTTTTTGTAGCAATGCCATGGTGGTACTGTTCTTAAACAAACCCAGAGCCCTTTTTTTGAGACCATGTTGGAGACAGCATTCAACTGCAGCTAGATTTTATCATTGCACAATTTACTATTATATATTTTAAAATTAAACATTTATTAATACCATAATGGTAATTAAGAGGATTAATTAATCATTTATCCATATTATAATGATAATTATGATAATGGTGATGATGGAAAAATGTGATAGAAAGTGAAATGGAAAAACAAACCACACAGAGATATTATAGAGCTGCTTTCTTCATGTACAAACTTTCTCGTTACAGACTCCTCCATGATTTGTTTGACCTGAAAGTAAAAATTACAAAATTGTGAAATAACTAAAATCCCAAATTATTATTTCATAACCATAATTAATTTATGCAAACAGAAAATACTGTGATGATTAGGCAGGGATTACTTAGAATTCAAACCAGGTCACAGCAACAATTGTAGCAGACACCTTAATCTTATACTTTATTTATAGTCTTATAGTTTTAAGGTGTATGCTAATGGAATTAGAAGACCAACTTGTTATCCATTTTTAGTGCATTGAAAAGTGCATTAATTAGTGCATTAATTGTACTCTATGTCTATTATCAAACAAACCTCTTTTTTGACATTTCTCAAAAGAATGTCTCTCACTTCAGCTTCTAAGATTTTTATAAATAAAATAAATGTAAAATAATTTTTAAAATTAGAGTAAATTTACAATCAACAACCAGTGATACTTAATTAAATGAAATTTATTTCTTTAATTTAAACATGATATTTTATATCAGTATATTTTATATTATAATCAAAGTTTGAAAGAAATAATATAAACCTTGCACATTTTCAGTATTTTGTTCCATCATAACTATTATTTAATGTTAATCAAGTAATTTAAACGTAATTTAAATTAATATTAGAATAAAATTATTAAACTCTTAAAGACATTGAGAATTTTGATTTTGTCATCATTTTCATTTCAATTCAATTTAAAAAAAATTCTGTTACTACACCAATCCCAACAGATTTTCTTCATTTTCAAGCTATTTAAAAGTTGATTTAAAAAGTAAAAAATTGAAATGTAATTAATTTAATAGTTTTATTGTAGCAAAAGTATAAAGAATGTGCAATAAAATCGGTTTAATTAATAATGGTTGGACTCTCAAAAATGACATTTAAATGATGATTATAAAAAACAGGATAGCCCCTAAGAGCCAAAAGTGACATTTATGAAAATGAAAAGTTAACTTAATTTTTACACACACATATATATATATATATATATATATAATATAAAATATAACATTCCATATATATGATATATATACAGCTACTACATAGCTATTCTTTTTTCTCGTGCCTTACTCTTTCAGGACATTGGCAATTATCGACCTCCAGAAAACCCAATCTTTAACACTTTTCCCTGCTTTAGCTATATATATATAACAGGGGAAAAGGATATCGGTCGACGACGAATAACATTCGTGAAGTCCTTGTGTCACTTTTTGATTATAATTACATTTCAACTCTTACAAAGTGTTAAAGATCGGGTTTTGTAGAGGTCAATAGTTGTTAATGTCCTGAAAAGATAAGGCACAAAAAAAGAAGATATAGCTACTGTTCACCGATTCCATAACATTTAATACTCTATGATAAGTATATGACCGATTCTTCAAAAAAACTTAATACTAAGTTTAAAAATTGGTTTGACGTTCCACACAATTCGCTTTTACTATTTTAAACCGACTCTATTAACGTTATCTACCTTTTATATAAAATTTATTTTAATGCTTATTTACATAAAATATCGAGTTAGGCAGATATATCCCACGTTTAATTTTAATCATTCTTAATTATTTTAATATTTTATTTTATAATTTTCCATTTCAAGCTGAAATTTAAAGAGAATTTTTAACAATGGTCTTGCTATTATTATTCATATTCTTCCCTTTTTGTTCCTTGACACCACCAACAAAGGTAATTAATGTTAATACCACGTTAACACTAATATATAATTTATGCAAAAACTATAATAAAGGGTCTCACCAGTTGGCTGGGTGGCTTCATTGGCTGTGTAGTTTTATTGGCTTTATTATTATTACAGGTATGGCATGAATAACGTAATTGGTTTTGAAGTTTGTGAATATTATGTTGGCTAATCTAATTTAATTAGCCAACATAATATTAATTACCAATTAGCCTAATTGGTAATTGGGTAATTCGTAATTGTGAACATTGTAATAATAATTATTATTACAACTCAGCTAGCATAATATCCCTATCACTTAGCGTCTTAGTCAGTATGATATTTGAAATTGGCTGCCAAGAACATCCCTACCGGCCACCATATTATTCACAATTAGCCCCCATAACATTTTATAATCAGCCAACATAATACTCATAACCACCATCATAATATTCACAATCAGATATTGTATGACATTTTATCCCAGCAGTCATCTAGCCAACATATTATGCACAATTAGCCAACATGACATTGTCATCTATTGACGATTTTAGTGCAATAAGCCAATTAGTTAGATCCAATATTAAGTTATTTACCTATTTTATTTCTTAATTAAATAATAAAATGGTTGAAATAGTATAATATTATTTTTAGTTTTAATATATATATGTCATTAATATTATTAATTATAAAAGGTCAAATAAATGTTAATGATGAGTCCTTCCGGTAAAAGAAGGGATTTTAAAGATTCGCCCCTCTCCAAGCTAAGTGTTGATCTGATTCAGACTTACAAAAGAATAAATGAGGTTCTCCATTTTATTTTCATTATTTTTTTTATTTTTTTTTTATACTCATTCTATGATTATTTTGTTATTAAACAATGAATTTGTGTCATGTTGTCTGATTAAAATATCTTCTTGAAAAACTTGTTCGTATTTTTCTATTTTATAATGAAATCAGTCGTATCACATCACTGCAGATATACTACACGAGGAAGAGGCTGAAGCATGACAGACAGCATAGATCGCACGCAAACATAATCCTTGCTGATAAGGATTGCCCACATCACCACCATCACCACTCAGATGTCAGTAGAAGTTCATCCATCGTAAAAAGGTCAATAAAAAATGGAGATTGTTCTGTAAAAAACAGTTGTGACAATTTGTACACACAGAAATTTCAGCAAACTCATTCTCAGTCTAACTACAACATCAGTAATCAACAACAACAACAGCAGCAGAGAACGATGCAACAATCACTTTTACAGCAACGACCTCAACAGCATTCGCAACAACACTTGCAACAACAACAACCTCAACAACTATTACACAGCAACAGCGGCAGCAATAACAACAACAACACTCTTAGACTATATAAAAATAACAATTCTCAAGTACAGCAGAAATCAGATGAACAGCAAGAATATGCCCCTTTTGTCTCTGGTGACGTATGGCACGATAGGTACATATTGGGGCAGATACTTGGGAAGGGATCTTTTGGACAGGTAGGGCAAAAAATTTAATTTCTTTTCTAAAATAAATTTTTTCTTTTTTTTTTTTGTAAAAAAAATCTTTTGCTTTGTTTAATTGTGTTGTTTGGTCTCATTGTCATTATACTGTAGTTATAGTAGATTGTTTAAATTATCATTTAAGATTAGAGTTTGGTAACCATTTTTTCGCACAAATTAAAAAATGGTCTAACGGTCACATTTTTTTAAAATTGAATTCTTTTTGGAATTGTTTAAAATTGATTAGTACTACATTTTGTTAAGGAGTATTTTAGTAATAAATAAATAAATAGATAAATATAGTTTTTAAATAATAAATAAAATTAATAAATAGTAAATAAAGTTATTAAATAACAAATAAAATTATTAAACAAGTAATTAAAGTAATTAAATAGTAAATGAAATTAGTGAATAATTATAATGAAATAATAACGCAGGTGGTGAAAGCCCTGGATATGCACTCGAACGAGGGCGTCGCCGTAAAAATCATCAAAAACAAGAAGCCCTTTCTCAACCAGGCCAGGATTGAAATCAGCCTATTAGAGCTCATTAAGTCACATGACCCAGCTAAGAAGAATGGGATTGGTCAGTTTATCTTTGGATTATATTATTAACTAATTTTTTATATTCTACGTTGATATGTTCATATTTTTATTTTATATGGGGTTTGTTTAAAGGCTTAGTTCTTTCCTTGTTAAAATGAATTAAATTTAAAAATCATTAATGTCAACTTGAACCACGAATCTCAGATGACTGTTTAACTTTTTTTTGGCAAATTTTTTTCTTTTAAAATTGGATTTTCAACAAAATATAGAAAAATATTTTAAAAATCGTACACAGCTTTAACTTAATATAAGTTTTTATTATTATTTTTTTTTTAAATCGGACTCTTGACAGATGCAGAAGCTGTTACAACTTGCATGGCAATAGTATAAAATAGTAACGGAAAATAAATGATTGAGTTAGAATGTTTTAAGCATGAAAAGAATGGAAAATAAAATAATGGTTTAAAAAGACAAATAAATAAAATGATTAATTAATAGACTGCTTAATGACTTGGTAAGTAAGTTAAGTGATTGATAAGAAAATAGAAATGACAAAACTGAGTAAATGATAGAGTTTTATTGAGAGCTTATATGTTTAAGGTGTCTTTTGAGGAAGGTCTTTTCCTGATATGTTGACTGAGTGACGACTTGTTAGTTGTGCTTGTGTGTAGTAGTTTTGATTGGTGGTAGTAGAGGATGGGTGACGTACGTGGTTGTTGTTAAATGAAGGCATTCTCTAATAAATAGGTAATTGAACGCACTTGTGATATCTATTTCTTTGACTTCATTTAAATAAATTTTAAAATTAATTCAATTAAATTTAAATTATTATCTTTTTACTGAATTTTTTACCATCTGATTGACCGCCAGTTCACTTGCTGAGTTACTTTGAGTGCATCTCACCACCGACCGCAGTTGGCCAGCTTTGCTTGGTGTTCGAACTCCTCTCATTCAACCTCTACGACCTCCTACGTAACACCAACTTTAAAGGCGTGTCGCTGAATTTGACCCGTAAATTCGCTTATCAACTCTGCAATGCCCTGAAATTCCTGTCCTCGCCACAGTTAGGCATCATACATTGCGACTTGAAGCCGGAGAACGTGCTGCTGGTCAACCCTAAACGGAGCCAGATCAAGATTGTTGATTTTGGCAGCTCCTGCAAGCGAGATCAGAGGGTAGCTATTAATCTCGTCTCGTTTTCGTTCATTTGTTTGCTTTTAGTTTTTTTTATTGCATTCCACGCTAGCTGTTGTTTTTTCACTTTCTATTTATAATTTTTGCAGTAATGTCTTTGTTGTTGATGTCTTTTTTAGCTGTCTTGTGGTTGCTCTAGTAGCCATTCATGTTAGATTGATTTACTTTTTAAATAATTTGCGCCAGTTACGTTCTCCATTGTATGTGATCATTTGATAAAATCATTGCTATTATTATAGATAGAGGGCAGCAAACCTCATTTAATCCTTTTAAAATGGTTATTTAGTTATTTAGCTTTCATTACAGAATCTTTCAAGTATAAACAAACTTTGTGCAAACTTAGTTACATGCGTTACATATTTTATACATATCTGTATACCAAATTGTATACAAATAAGTAATAAAATGTAATAAATATATTATTTATAACCTGTTAATGTACCCAAAAACCAGCTGTACAGTTACATTCAGAGTCGTTTCTATCGGAGTCCTGAAATATTGATGGGTCTGCAGTACGACCTGCCCATCGACATGTGGAGCCTCGGCTGCATCCTCGTCGAAGTGCACGTTGGAGAGCCTCTCTTTCATGGCCTTGATGAGGTCGACCAACTGAACAGGATCATCGAAGTCCTCGGCCTGCCACCGCAGAAGGTAGTTGACAAGGCCTCCAAGTACAATAAGTTCTTCACCAAAACATCCTCCGGCTACACTGTGAAGGATATTTCCAAGGTAAGGACTGCTGCTGCTGCTGCTTGTTTTTGTTGCTGATTATGATAATATTATTCTATAGAATCGTCGTTTTCTGTTGAGCTGCACTCAATTTACATGTTTTCATTTAGGTACCCTTCAACGTATCTTTCGTTGTAATCACTCACTTTATTTAGATATTTCTATTAAAGATACCAGGCCATCTTTTAATGTAATAGTTAATGTAACTCACAGGCAGAAACTAATCACATTAAACTGTTACCGGTTGGTTAGTAAGTAAAATTCTGCGTTAGTTTCGTGCAATCAAGAGTTGAGTCTGATCCGTTTTATTCATAAATTAATTTCCGAATTAAATGTTTGTGGGTCAGATAGGGTAGGATGGTTACGGGTACGGTGTTAATGAATTAAGATAATTAATCGCAAACAACAAGAAAACAATATGTTTATAGTTTCATCTGTCGTAATGATAAGACAAGTGATCGTGTTACTTCGGTGGGTAAGTGTGTTGCTGATGGTCAACATTTCAATCATCACAAATTTTTACCACTTAATTTCTACTACTCATTCACTACTTGATGATGACACGCACCATCGTGGAAATGTTTCTGAATTAAAATAAAACTGTTTCTTGCAGTACAAGCCAGCTGGCTCGAGAAACTTACGATCAGTATTAGGAGTTGAAGTCGGTGGACCTGGAGGCCGAAGACTGAACGAATCTGGCCACTCGTGCGCCGACTACGCCACCTTCCACGACTTAATATCTCGTATGTTGACGTACGAGTCTATCAAACGAATATCGCCCATCATAGCGCTGGAACACTCCTTCTTCAAGCCATTAGAAACACCACTGACCACACCCCTGCATAACTTCTCGACTGCATCTTCCTCCGCCATATCGTCGCTTGGTCAATCGAATAAAATGACCACTAGATTCAATTGCAGTGTTGGTAATACTGGCAGCTGTAGTGGCGGCGGTGGTGGCCACAGCGGCGTTGGTGGACACGCTAGTAGTTTCATAACAAATGTGCTGCTGAGTCCCAGAAGAACTGTGTCTAATGTTAGATCTTCGTCTGTTTGGTTCATGTCTTGTTCACCTTATTTCGTTTCTTGCCTGGTTGTGTTTTATTTTACTTGTTTGTTGTTTATTTATCTTCTTATTGCTGTTAGCTACCCAGGTGATGTGCTTCTATTGATTGACTCCATGTGAGAGCGTGAGTGTCTGCGTGTGAGATTGCGTGTGTAACTCTTTATGCTTGGCAGTTCGGTTTCAATAAAATAGTTTTTATGCCCTCGTTAGGTTTTCCTTTCATTCAATGCATCGCTAATTTCGCTACCTCCATTTAGTACCTTCGCTGTTTTCTATTACTATTACTATCAGTACTATTACTCTTATTAATTATTCAAAAATTATCCAAAGAGCATCAGGGCGCAGCATTAAATCACTCTAAACATGGCATTCGTACCGTGACCGTCTAGCTAAATCGTCGACCTTGACATTTATAATTTTTCCTAATAGTTGAAGTACGTTAATATTGACGTCATTGTAGTTGGTCCATTCGAATTTAACGCCGGCCGCTGTCTCCTCGCCGACCACTGCCAAGAGGTCCTACTCGAACACTGGTCGCCAGTCGTCATCAAATAAGCCACCGTCATCTAGTATTTATAACTTCTTTTTGTTTTACTTCTTTCATTTATTATTATTATATTCAGGTATTTCATTTTTTCATTCATTATTATTTCATTCAGGTATTTCATTTTAGCGTTTTACTTTAATACTTCAATGTTATTATTTCGTATTTTTAATTGATTCATTTAAAACTATATGTCAGTGTGTTGAATTATTTTTTTATCCTATCCACAGGACCCATGCGATGAGAGGATTCCACTGTCAGTCAGTCAACAATCAACCAGCCAATCAGTCAATTGATGGATTGAATGACTGACTGATTGATTGGTTGAACGATCCATTCATTTCAACCAGACACAAATAAAAGAGCTGCTATGTAGAGAGGTGGAAAGATGAAGAAGATGACGTCATGTGTGTGTGTTTGTGTGTGTGTGTGCGCGCGTGCGTGCGTGGTTGTATGTCATTCATCATTCGTTCTTCAATTTTCCCTCTCATTTTATCCATCATTTATTTTTACTTTCTTTTTATTTGCAATTGCGGAATTTTATCTCTGTGTATGAAAATCTTTTTAAACGGTCGCCACTTGCAATTGCAATTTCATATAGCGCTCTGGTGTTTACTCGTTCGGGCGCGAGTATTAGTATTTTATTACGTGATTATGTATACAACAGTATTCAATGCGTATACATACATATATATATATATGTACGCTTAGTCATAATTTCACCGTGTATAAATTAATGATGATGAAAGACACTCTTGTCATCGTTAACGAGGTATCTGTAACTCGATTTTTAAAAATTTGGGTTAAATATAGTATTAATTTATTATTAATAATAACAAAAATTGAGTATTAATGTTAGTGAAATTACTGCTAATTGTAATGATAGTAATAATACTGAATATTAAGAAGAAATGAATTTTAAATTATTTTTCATGTTGTTGCGATAAACAGTGATTTCCTGGCAAGAATGGAATAGTCAGAAAAAAAAATTAAGTAAAAGTAATTGTAATTTCAATGTAATTTTTCTTTTTTATTATTTTTATCGTTTTTGTTTAAACGTTATTCAGTGTAATAAAAAAATAAATAAATATTGATAAATAATAAAAAAAAAAATTGTAAGGGGACGTTTCAGTTTGTTCTACTTGTTTTTCATGTTTTTTATGTTTATGGCTTGAAATAAGATTCTGTATTATTATTATTTTATTATTAATAATTTATTATTATTAATTTATTATTATCTTTTTATTATTATTTGTTTAACCGCTCAAAATTCATTAATTTAGTTATTCAAAATTATTATTTTTTGCATCACTTCATCTCGAAATTGTACAAAATGTTGGCATTTTCCGACATTCTAGTGTTTAATTGGCACGTTATTATTTATTATTATTATTTTAAATTATATTTTACAAATTGATGGAGATTATAACTTGGTTGCGTGCTAGTGTTTGTGTGTGTGTGTGTGCGTGCGTGCGCGCGAGCAAGCAAACGTTAAATCATTTTTGTATCAGCATATAAACGCGTGTTTGTATGTATGTAAGTTTGTTTATGTTTGTACTTTGTATTGTTTAAAACTTGGAATCTTCTTTTCAAGTCAACGTCAACAATACATATTTCTAAAACCTAGCATTGCATTTGAAACAGGTCGTCGCGTAATAAAGGCGTCAGACATGGCACTTCTACCGACTGAGCTAACCCGCCTTTCATTCATGTTTCTACACAGTGAATCTTTGAAATTCCAAACCAAATCAAAATAATTTTTATCTCTATTAATACGTTTCTAGCAACGGTTACGGCTTCTAACTAACATGGTCTATAACATCGTATGTATTTTTACTCTCTCCCTCTCTCTTTCTCTCTCTCTCTCTTCCTCTCTCTCTTTCTCTCTCTCTCTCTCTCTCACACACACACGCACACACACACACAGGAACTTACTGAATATATATATATATTCAGATGGTCTCTTCATATCTCATCTCTTCATTCTATTTTTTTCCCACTTCTGCTAATAAAAACGGTCATCTAGCCCTTTTCATGGTATAATGTGTATCTATGAAAATAATACAAATATGCAACTATGTGTTTCAATGGATTGCTTGCTTGCTTATATTGGGTTTGATTTGAAGGGGTTTTTGTTGTTGTTGTAATTATTGGTGTTATTTTTGATATTGTTGTTTTTATTATTATATTTTTGTCGCTATTTTGATTATTTCATGAAAAGGACTTATTTTTTTGTCTGTTTGTATTTTCGTTTTTGTATCTCTAGCGTTAATTTTTGTACATTTTGATTTGTTATTTTATTATGTGAGTGTGTGGTTTGTGTGTGTGTGTGTGTGTGTGTGTGTGTGTGTGTGTGTGTGTGTGTGTGTGTGTAATAGTAGTTTCAATATGCATGCATGCACGCCTACTTAATATTTTAATCCAGTTTAGCCGCCAATGCCTAAAACGTCAAAGCATTAATTGCATTTCTCGTCAGTCAAACCTTTTTTGTATTTTTAGATTTATGTGTGTGTGTGTGTGTTCCTCTGTATGTGTTGGTGTTTATGTGTATATTTGTGTGTATATATATATATATATATATTAATATGTGCATGTATGTGTGCGTTTGTTTAATTTTATTTAAATAAATGTATCGCGAATACACGTAGTCTCGAAATGTGTGTGTGCGTGTGTGTGTGTGTTCGTGTTTGTGTCTGTTTGTGTATGTATCTTGTATATTCAGATACTGCATCTTTATAATAATAATTGCATCGTGTTTTTTTTCTGTTTTTTATGCAAAGAAAATTGAATCGTTACGCGAGGAAATGCATTTTTCAGCTTATAATGCGAAAACTGTGTTCTGTGTGTGTTTTTGTATGTATGTGTGTGTGTATTAATGTGTATGTATGTATGTATGTGCGTGCGTGTGTATGTATTGTATGTTTGTTTGTTCTTTTTTTATTTACGTCTGATGTATTTCTTTGCATGCTTTTTGCATTGACACTGATTTTCAATATTCTAATATCCTTAATAGCCATAAATTACAATAATATTCATAATGTTTGTTTGTATACTATAATTATGAATGTTATTATTATCATTCATTCATTCATTCATTCATTCCTTTGCTTATTTGTTTAATTATTATTATTATTATTATGGTATTTGTGGTAAAACTTATTATTTAATTAATTAATGTTTGTAATTTATATATACGTGTGTGTTTGTATGTGTGCTTGTGTGTGTGTGTTTGTATGTGTGCGTGTGTGTGTGCAGCTGTTTGCATACTATTATTTTAGTTATATGCGTGTCTAGAAGTATCTACTAGTACTAATACTACTACCTTTTGCTGCTACTACCATTACTACTACCACTGCTGCTGCTGCTGCTGCTACCACTACTACTACTACTACAACTACTGCTACTACTACTACTATTACTACTACTGCTACTACAACAACTACTACTACTATTACTACTGCTACTTAAATTATGCATTTACACGTACGTACAAGTAACGTATGCAAAGGTCATTTTAAATTGACGTCAACTAATTAATTGATAAAATTAATTAATTGATTATTAATTAATTAATTAATTTTGTGTTTTATCTTACAGTTAAAGCGATCTCAGTAGATTTTTTATATAAAGTTTCTAGTCATATTCATCATCTTCATCATCTTCGTCATTGTCTGTCTACCGTTAGCTCATTCATTATCACCAATATCGTTGTCGTATTTTGTTTATGTTTCATTCATTCATTCAGTTATTCAGTCATTCTTTCATTCGTTTTTATCGTCATTCATTCTTTTCACTCATTTTCATCATCGTTTTAGTGTCCCGTCATAGTTCATTTATTTATTCATTCTGTCAGTCAGCCATTTGTTCGTTCGTTCGTTCGTTCATTTGTTCATTCGTTTGTTCACTCCTTTCGTTTTTAATGTCATGATAACTTCCCAATGAATTCCATTAATGTCATTTAATGTAGTTAGCACGTGTTAGAAATCTATATTATTGTCGTCGTCATGAATATTATCACTGTGACTAACTTTTTATCTATCATCTTAATCATTGCCATCATCGTCTTAATCATCATCTTAATCATCGTCTTAATCATCCTTTTCACGGTTTTTTATCATCATCGTACTGATATTATTCAAACGTTATAATCATCATCGTCGTCATCATTTTAGTCATTATTTTACCGTCTTAATCATTTTAATCATTCGAATCCACCACCACCATCATCATTCGTCATCATCATCATCATTTTAAAGATCTTAATTATTGCAATCATAGTAGATGTTTGATGTTGTCGTCGTCATGTTCCTATCATCATAAACATGTAACCCAATGTTGTAACTAACGTACGTCGTCGTCATCAGTGACGTCATCATCGTCGTATACAAACTACGTCATCGTCAGTGACGTCATCATTATCATTGTCGTGTACAAACGTACGTCATAGTCATCGTCGTCATTCTTAGTGACGTCATCATCATCATCATCGTGTACAAACGCCATCGTCGTCGTCGTCATCATCTTCGTAGACAATCGTCATCATCAGTGACGTCATCATCATTAACGTTAGTATTAATCATTATAAACATCTTTCGTATCGTTTGTCAATGCCAGTTAATCTTAACCGTTTAACAGTCAGCTAGCTATTAATGATTGTATTAGGTATTATATGTATATAAAATAGGTTGGTATTGATAGATATTTAAACAACTGTTTAATTATACCTGGTCGTAATTATATGATGATGATTGTAATTATTATTAGTATTATCATCATCATCAATTTTGCTGCTATTTTATTATCGCTATAACCATCATCGCCATAATAGTACGTTCGTTTAATAACCTCATCATAATGGTCTGATCATTTTATGTATGTAGTCGTATTATCGTGATGATGATTATTTAAATCATCGCCATCTCAGTCATCATTATTCATCGTCGTTGTCCTCATCGTCAATCCCATCTTTAGTCATTTTCACAGGATATCCAGCTAGCATAGCAGCCAGATGTGCGTTATGCCGTGCGTACGTCTACGTTGAACTTCTTTACTTTTGACCAGTTCTACTCACTCACTCATATTGTCATCGTCTTTACTCTTAATCATTCTTTTACTCACATTTTTAACGTTTCAATCATTTACTCACATTATCGTCATCATCTTAGCATTTACTGGTTCACTCATGTTATGACCATTTTAAATAGTTAACGCAAGGGTGATAGCTTCGATTTGTTAAAAGTTTAACAGATAGCGATGATAATAATATACCAAATACAATCATCTCATTATTATCAGCATCCTCTTTAGCCACAAATGTTTGATGGTAACGCTGATGGTAATAATAATCAAGTTATCATCATCAAGTTATCATCGTCAAGTTTTTATTATTAAGTTATCATCATCAAAGTGTCATCATCAAGTTATCATCATCAAGTTGTCATCATCAAGTTATCATCATCAAGTTATCATCATCAAGTTATCATCATCAAGTTATCATCATCAAGTTATCATCATCAAGTTATCATCATCAAGTTATCATCATCAAGTTATCATCATCAAGTTATCATCATCAAGTTATCATCATCAAGTTATCATCATCAAGTTATCATCATCAAGTTATCATCATCAAGTTATCATCATCAAGTTATCATCATCAAGTTATCATCATCAAGTTATCATCATCAATTCTAGTGTCGTTATTGTTATCATTTTCATCATCAGCATCTACGATTATACTCACTGATATTATAATACAAATAGTAAACCGTAGCTCAAGCGCTAAATGTTTTTATCGCATTTCTTTATGAAAAAATAAATATTTTATTTATTTAATTCAATTTGAAATAATTTAACACATTCATTCATTCATTCCACTAATATAATTTTACATTAAAATGACCAGTGTATGTATTTTATATGTCTGCGTGTGTGTGTGTGTTAGTGTGCGTGTGTGTGAGAGAGAGAGAGAGAGAATTTTAC